GGGGGCGGGGAAATGGGAGGAGTACGTGACCATAACCATAACATGAACTGCTGCCACCGACCTCTGCCCCGCCCACCTCCGCCACCGCCACCGCCGCCCTCGCTCTCTTTTTGCGGGTTCAAAGCGGAGAGACGACGACAAACAGGAAATATTTAACGTGCCAACAACAAAAGTGAAATATAAATAAAAATAATAATAATAATGGGCAGAAAAGAAACGTAGGGAACGCAGCGAGAGTGAGAGCAGAAACGCTCTCTCCGGCCCTCCAACTCTCTCTCTCACCCGCTCTCTCTCTTCGAAATGCCCTTTTTTTTATGTTCCCATATACAGGGAACATCTCGCGGAGAGAGAGAGCGCTCTCGCTGCTGGAAATTCTCGGCTGGTTTTCCCGTTGTTCCTGGCGAGGAAGCCAGGTTTTTAGGCCATTTTCTCTCCAACATTCGAAAGCGACGGACGCGCCTGCAGCAAGCGGACTGCAGCAGAAGAACAGAATCGAAAAGATAAAGATACTGAGATACGGTTCGGCTTCTGATTCGGTTTCGGTTTGGGTTCAAGTGTGTGTGTTGGTGGGAATTTCTTCTACTGCTGCTGCTGCCGCCTCTTTTTTGGATATATATGGATATTTATGCTTCGCGTGCCCGCCCGCCCGTTAAACAAAAAAAAAAAAACTAAACGCCAGTGTGCGTATGTATATGTGTGTGTGTGCTAGTGTGGATAATTAAAGCAACAAAACAACGAATACGAAGTACGAAATGCTTTAAGACCGAGATTAAAGTTGAAGGTCGGTCGGTGCTGCTGTTGTTGTTGTGTTTGGTACAGTGGAAAACGGATCCAGATCGCCTGCCCAGCCTGGGAACACGGATAGCTTGGATAGCGTGGATAGCGTTAGCGTTGAACGTTAGTATACCGACGAAAGGCTGAAGTCGTTAAGCCAAAGAATACGAATATACGCCAGCAAAATAAAAGTAATCGTGCATTGCTCCCTCTCTGCTGCTGCGCATGTTTCTCTGCCGCAGTCGCCGCTGCTGCCTGCATTTTTAGTTTCGCCCCGACTATTACAGCATGCTTTACATTCCGTTTACATCACGTGTTAAATAACTGCTGGCTGTCACTGTTCGCGGCTCAGCGTGTGTGTGTGTGTGTGAGTGTAATTGTGTGTGCAATTGTTGTTGTTTGCCCAAGCAAATATGCAATGATTTTTGCACCACCCACTCTCTTGGCCCCCCTTCGTGTATGTGTGTGTGTGTTGGATACACACCCCCACATCCAGCACACACACAAACTCACAACTTCTGGCGGAAGTGGAAGTCACTTTCGGTGTGTGCGTGTGTATCTAATGGGATTTTCTAATAAAATTTAAATTGTTGCCGCTTTTGCCGAGCGGCGTTCTATGAATTTAATATGACCCCTGTGTATGTGTGTGCATGTGTGAGTGTGTGAATAGGGGCCATAAAGCTTTGCTTATGGCTGGAAAATTAAATAGAGTGCATAATTTAGGCATCAACTTTGCGTTGAATGCATAATAAACTGCTGCAATTGAAAGGCTCCATCTACCAAAGGACCACTGCATAAATATCGGATAACCTTAGCTTGTGCGAGGGAAGTTTAGACCCGGGAAATATGAAGCTAAAAGGCCGACGGCAATCAAAAGTGTCTAATTAAATTGTTTCAAGTGGAAAGCCGTATAAGTAACACTCATAACGAGGTGCCAAAACTATTGTGCCTTAGTTAACAGATATCTTCAAATCTTAAACGTAATTCGCCAAACCAATTGCTTAAATTATGGCCATTTCATACTTAAACTCTTTAATTTGTTGAATACTCGGAACAATCACATCAGACATTGTAAATGTTTCTGTTTATTTCTTAAACAAATTGTTTTTTGCTCAAACTTTGCAACTACTGAAAGAGCTTCAAATAAGTTTAATCACTGACTATTGAAAAAAAAGTTTTCACAATTTTGGTTTGCAGTAGGGTAGAATTCGTTTTTATAAAATAAAGTTTATATTACTCCTAATTGAATTAATTCAAATAATTAAACAAAATGCATAAATAAGCCGACAGTCCTTGGCCAATGATCCTCCCATTGAATGTTTTTTAATCTAAAATAAAAAGGTTTTAAAACATACCAAATGTTCTTTAGTCATGTGTTATGGTTTTCTGCAGTCAATAGTCGAGCTCCCAAACCTATTATATTATGTTTTCACAGTTTTGAACAATTGTCATATTCATTTTAACTTTTACACCCAAACAAAAATTACTATCACCCTTTTGCTCGTCACCAAAAGGACTACTTAACGGGACGAATATTCTTTCCGGCGTGATACAGAGATCTCTGTAAAGTTTTAACCAAAAACTATTGAAATTTTCATTGATGTACTGTTCAATTTAAATTGAAGTTGGTTAGAAGATATTTTTGTTTCTGTAGGAAAGCCTTACTTTCCTAAAGCTAATTTCTTAAGTTCCTGAGAATTCAAGCAACCCTAATTGAAGTTAACTTGCCCACATTTCATTGTACAATTTGGTTTTAAAACACAATTATAAGTTTATGTTTGTCCCGCTCTCTTATTTACTTCCTTAACAAATTTTTCCTGTGAAAAATCGCAATTTCGATTTATAACCGAAACATATCGTTTTCTTTACTCTTGTCTCCTTAAATATTTTACGAGTTTTTATGAGTTTTTGAGAATTTGTGCGTTGGCTGCGCGTGACTAAAAGCGTATGTCTTTTTTAAGAATCCGTTATTAAAAAAAATAAAAAGAAAATAAAATATTGTTTACGAAACTGTTTCTATAAGCCAAACTTTGAAACCATTCCTGTAGATCATCAAAATAACCTTAAAAACCCTTAAAGTAATAACCTTAAAAATAAATAATAAAGAAGCTAGCTACCTTCCCTAAAAAATAAGAAATTTCCACTCCTGTGATGAGACATCTCAGTTAGAATTGTAATAAAATTCTCAAAAAAAAATGGCCGCATTTGTTTACCCCATCTTAATAAATAACAAAAATGCAGGAGAAAGATGGACACAGTTAACATCAATCCGCCGTAATAGGCTTATCACAAAAGCAGCTTGGTCGTCGTAATCTGTGGTATCTCCCGGGTAGACAAACATAAAATATAAAGTGTTTCCATTTCATGTGTTTTATTTTCCTTTATGTATATTCTGTATATTCAGAACTTGTGTGTTGTAGATCTGATATTTCAGTAGGTAGAACGACGCTGCTGATTACAAAAAGGTCCGAAACCTCTATAAAGCCGTCGGAGAATATAAAATTTCGAACCCGAGAAAACCCAAGACCCAAGTCTGGTTTTTGGGTCTGGAACCCAAGTTGAAAGCATTACCTCCGTATTTTACGATTCGTTTAACAAGCGAGGGCAGGTGGAATGCCACTCCCACTGTCATGTTTTCCTCTGAAATGACAATCAAATATTTTACAAATTCATAGCAATCGCATTTCCCCATCCATTGAACAACTTCAACATGAGAGTGAAAAGAACACTCGCACGCTGCATTTTGTTAATTCTATTAACGGATTAATGGAATCAAATGCATACACAGAGAGAAAGCAGGTCGTTATTAATTAACTTACTTTTTCGGCTTATTTTGGTATGTGACTTTGAAATAATCAAATAGATTAGAACCTTTTTCAAATCCGAAAGCTGTTAAATGAACTTTCAATATAAATTACAAATAACAATGTTGGATTACATATGTCCTTTAAACATTTCTAAAATTTTGAAATGTCTATAAAGGAATAATAAAATCAAAAATCAAATTGTATTTCTTTTTCAATGTCAAAACTGGATCTCGAATAGAAAATACCCTTCTGTGTAACCAGAGGATTTTTTTTGTATACTTGCCGTCCGTTTAGTCCGTTCATCCCGTTTCGTTTCGTTTGCTCCCTCTCCCTTTCTCCGTACGTACGTGTGTGTTTAACCAAAACCACACTCACACACACGCAACGTGGGCTACCTGAAACTGAAATTTTCCCGCATTAGATTGCGGCCCTTGCCTTCCATTCCTCTTCTTCCCACAGTTGTTGTTGTTGCTGCTGCTGTTATGTTGCACGCGGACAGACAATCGTAAAGAAAGATAGAGAGAGAGAGTGGAATGAAGAGGGGAGATGTGGAAAGGCTGAGAAGCGTGGACGAGGGGGAGGGGGAGGGAGTTGCCTTTATTTTCTTCCTTTTCGGTCTGCCTCTTTCGTTTGCTCTTTCTTGCCTGTTGTGTTCTCCTGCTTTTTTTTTTGTTTACTTTATGCTTTCGTTTATCGACCCGTTTTGTGTGAGTTTGGTTTGTGTGCTACATATGCGGGGTGCTCTCTCTCTCTCTCTTGCATTCTCTCACTCGTTCTCTTGCAACATAACTATCAGATCCTTTTGCATAAAAATACTTTTTAAAGTTTTAGTTCTTTGAATATATATTTACATATGTTTTTAAACATTATTAGACAATTAAAATTTAAGAAAATGTTAAATTAAATGAAAATTCTTAATTTCCCTTCTCTCCGCGCCCTGCACTCAAATTCCAGTTTCGTATCTGCCTGCCTTTGAGTGCGGATTGTTTTGGGAAATTTATCAGCTGTTAGCGGCGCTGTTAGCGTTTGCAGAGCATAAGCGATAGCTGTCGGCGCTCTCTAACACTGGCCAGCGAATAAACAAAATGATTCGCCCGCCAACACTACCAAGCAAATAAACAAAAAGGGGGGGAGAAAAAAAAGAGATAAAAAAGCGTGTAAAAAAAGACCAAAGCATAAACACAAACAAATTAAAGGTGCAGAGCAATGTAATTGCCGAGATGGTGAATTAAAATTAGCATTCGATCGTTCCCCACCCAAGATGCCGTCCCCCTGCCTTGGCCCGCGTCCAAAAGGTGTGGCTGTAACCACCGAGTGTGCAGCCACAGTGGGGCCAGCCAAATCCCTCCGAATTGTAGCCGTAGTGCCCAGCAAAAGATAACGCCCGTACTTATCACGTTCCCCTCCTCCTTTTTGCAGCGGCGTTGCCACCTCACTGAGCTGCGCGGACTCCAGCACGGGCTCCAGTGAGGATGCGTCCGATCCCGGCTCCCCGTACAGTGCGCACTCGCAACTGAGCGACCTGCCACCATCGCCAGCCATCCACCACCACCACAGTCATCTCAGCCAGCACAGCATGTCCAAGCCGACGACGCCCCAGCGCCACGGCAACCCCAACCTCCTGCCCACGCTCCAATGGCCATGGAACACCAGCCTGGGCAGCACCTCCACCGCCGTTCCCGCCGCCACGGCCAACAAGAACAAGCGAACGGCCGCAGGATCTGGAACGGGAGCGGGCGAACTGCCCAGCTCCTTCGATGCCAGCAAAAGACTGAAGGTCGCTGCCATGGAGGAGTCGCAGACCAAGATCACCGGCTTCTTCAAGTCCCAAATGAAGCCGTCTCCAAATGGCGGAAAGCTTTCACCACAGCCTGGACAGCAACAGCAGAGCAATCCGGCCAACACGCTGACCATGAGCACACCCGCCACCACCGCTTCGCTAAACAAGTACTTCAATATCCTCTCTCAGCTGAAGGAGCAGAAGGCCCAGCAGCAGCAACAGCTACAACAACAGCAGCAGCAGCCGTCGGCCAAGGCTTTGCCTACACCCGCTCCAACAATTCCGGTTGCTCCTGCGCCTCCCGCCCCGCCTGTGGTCACTCCCAGTTCCAGTTTGCCCGTGCCAGCGCTGAAAAAGATCGAGCGCAGCACCAAGCAACCGGCCAAGATTGCCCAGGTTGCGCCCAATCTGCGCAAGACGCCCAGCAGTGGCTCCTCGGGCAGCTCTTCGTCGTCCTCGTCCAGCTCCTCCAATGGCTCAAGTACAGGCAAATCACCAGCCAAGAAGCACGTGGCCATCGCTCCCAGGACGCCGGAGATGAAACAGCAGCAACAGGGCAAGGCGGCCATGGTCTACCGACCGCCGGCAACGAGCCCCGCCCTGAAGCAAAAGCAGATCTCACCACCCGCCCCCGTGACGGCCACGGCACCCGCTCCAGCGCCAGCACCAGCACTCAATCCTTCGCCCGCTCCCGCCAATCCAACGCTCTACCAACTGCCCGTGCAGTTGCCCAATCTAGTCCAGCTTCCGCCCCAGCCTGCCCAGGCAGCTGCTGCCCAGTATTTCCTCAATGGAACTGTCTTCAAGCTGTTGCAACAGGTGACAACGGCCACGACGACGACGGCCACCACAGCCACCTCGGCGGCAGCCACGGCGGGCAATCCTTTTGGACTGCTTAATTTGGCCACGGCGGGAAATCCCTTTGGTCTACCGAACGCCGCCAGCGGTCAGTTTCCCATTGAGGCCATTCCGGGAGCTGGGAGCTACCTCCATCATCAGCTGCTTCTCGCCAGGCAGAACAACATGAGTTTAAATGGTAAATATGATTTGTTTTTGATAGAGGTTGTCCAACTTAATGCATCAACTTCCCATGAAGACATCCCAATATTCAGATTTTACAACCATTTGCTTATGTTTACTCATTTTCCTTACAGAAAACATGGCTTCCAACCCGTGCGGGAACATGAACTTTGTTAACCCACTCAACAACCAGCAAGTGGGACTCAAGGATAACAAACTATATATAGTTAACTCGGCCGAGTACCTAGGATACTTAATGAGCTTGCAGATAGCTCTGAACAACCAACAGCATCAGCAACAACAAATTATATCTGCCACACAGCCGCCACCGCTGGCGGCCACGAACAACAGCAATACGAACACTGCCACTGCCACTCAGCCGCCACCATTGGCAGCCACGAACAACAGCAATTCGAACACTGCCAACAACTCGACTGCCAGCAACAGTAACAACCACAATGCCTCGAATAATCTAAGCAACATCAACAGCAACAACACTGCCATACAGCCTCAGCGGGCGATTGTGAAACCGCCGATGCACAGTTCCACGCAGCCGCCTCCGCTGGTGACGATATCGGCTGCTGCCTCTTCGCCGGCAGCCAAACGGTCACTTCCCGCCGCTAAGCCATACCAGAAGCGGCTGCCCACAAAGGGAAGAGTGGGAGCGGCGTCTATTATTGCCACGCCCACCACTCCGCCGCCTCTGGTGCCCACGTCGGCCACAAAGGAGCTGGGTCAGCTGCGAAAAAGCACGGGGACCACTGGGCCACCCGCAACATCAACGCCGACCCCAACGCCTCCGCTGGTGAGCATCGCTCCCTCGAAGCTGACGCCCACGTTAAGCATGTCCAAGCAAGGACCTACGATTAAGCTGGCCAACAGTGCGCCCGATCTCTTTGACCTGGTCAAAAACTCCAAGGTTGTGGCCAAGGTGTCGCAACCGCTAACGCCACTGCCCTTCAGCTCGCCGAGCAACAGCAGTAACGGAAGCCACTGCCTAAGATCCTCGCCAGCGCTGTCCAACTCAAACTCGTGCACCCTGTCGGCCTTCAGTAAGATCAAGGTGGAAACGTCGGAGCTGGCTTCGCAGACCGGCTCCACGGTCTCATCATCGATGCCTCCCATATCTCCCAAGCCCCAGAGCTTCGCCGGGCAGCTGCCCAAGAGGGAACCAGAATCGGAGGTCGAGACGCTGAAGCACGATCTTCTGCCCGACTGCACCAACAGCAACTCAAACTCGAATTCGTGCAGCAGTAGCACCTATTCACACTCGGTCAGTTCGGCAGCTGATCTCTCGCTAGAGGCCTCTACGCCAGCGCCATCTCCTTCGCCCTCAGCATCGCCATCCGGCTTGGGATCTCCATCGCCGGCTACCAGCAACATGAGTGGCAGCAGCCGACGTGCAGCTAGCCAGACTGACATGCTCAGCGAGCTGGTCACCTCGTCGTGTATCTCGAGCGGCGGCGATGATTGCTCTCAGGCCACGGACTCGCCTCCACCGACGACACTTCCCCTGCAGCTGGTCAAGAGCGAGGACATGATCCCGCCGACACCCACGGCCAGTGGCGGAAGCAGCAGCGGGAGTAGTAACTACGATGAGGAGGACGACAAGTCGGTGGCCTCGCTGGAGACTCATCAGACGCACAAGCGGCTGAGGGACCTGCCAACGCCGGAGTCTGGCATCGGTGGAAGCCTGAGCAACAGCGAAAGCAGCAACTCGATTGCAGATGCCATGTGAGTAGATTTTAGAGTTGGAACTTTCTGCAGGGTTGCACTAGGAACTTATTATATTAATTTGGCAACCTTGCTAGAAATGTGTTAAGCCTTCATCATAAAATAATCCCAACCATTTTACCTATTAGTTCCTCCAAATCCGCCTCTGTGGGACCACCTACCACTGCAGCGAGCAGTGCATCCTCCTCCGCCTCCGACAGCAACTCATTGGCTAGCAATGCACCTTCTCCCGCCTCACCGGACGACAGTTCTGCAGCTCCGTCGCCCTCCTGTTCAACATCCACTGCAGCCTACATTCCGCCCAGCACTGAGGTGGACATTGCGATGGTCGAGGCCACCAGCAAAAGTCTGCCGAAGAGCGCCATTTCCCCGATCCTCTCGCAGCCAAAGACCATCCGTTTCCCGGCGGGAGCAGGGGCTGGCGGAAAGGGCGGAAAGCGGCACGACGGCGTCTGCTACTGGGACAAGTGCAATAAGAAGCACGAGAGCAACTCAAAACTGCTAGACCACATGCAGACGCACCACGTCAACACGCAAACTGGCCCCTTCGCTTGCCTCTGGGTGGGCTGCAAGGTGTACAACAAGGAGTCTTGTTCGCGACGCTGGCTGGAACGACACGTGCTCTCACACGGTGGTTCCAAGCAGTTCAAGTGCATCGTCGAGGGCTGCGGTCTGCGGTTCGGCTCACAGGTGAGTACAAATCGCATACATTTTGTATGTAACCTCTATAACTCTGTGTGCTATTATCTTCTTCTAGTTGGCGCTGCAAAAGCATGTGAACAACCACTTTAATGCTACGGACAATGCCAAGGAGAGCACGAGCAAGCGCACCTCAGATCCACCCGTGCCCAAACAGCTCCGCAAGAATGGCAAGAAGCTCAGATACCGCCGACAGCCCTTCTCAGGTTAGTAAAAACGGATATACCGATCTATGATATTTAAGCAACAAGATACTAATTAGATTTCTTAACTTTCAGCTCGCATGTTTGACTTCTTCGACACGGGCATCATGGAGGGGCTGCAGCACCGCCTGCGCCAGATCAGCACACTCACGAACGGAGCCCAGGCCATCGAGTTCCAGGGTCAGTGTCTGATGCGAAGGCGCAACAGTCAGGGCGGCTACGAGTGCTTCGTGCGCTGGTCCCCGCGCGAAATGTGAGTTAGTCTGAAGCACATTCTTTGCCCAGGTGTTTACTGTTCTTCCTTCCTCAACAGCATCTCCGACGAATGGCTGCCGGAATGTTCAAATCGGACCCGCCAGCACACCAAGGTACTGCACATCAAGCAGATGCGGCCAGCTGAAAAGACGCGCGTGGACAGTCTGCTTAGCACGGCCTTCCGGTTGCGCTATGACTCCCAGCTATTCGCCGACAGTTACAATGTGAATGAGCAGCAAGTCGGCGAGCTGAGCGGCAGCGACTGCGAGGAGGATGGTGGTCAAGATGACGAGGAGGCCGACGACGATGATGATGAGGAAGACGGCGGTAGTAGTTCGCGCAGTGCGAGCTGCGAGACAGTGTCCAGCTATCAGCAGGTACTAAGCATCGCCAAGCTGCAAATGCAGCAACGCCGCAAGCACCCGCGAAAACCACCCAAAGTGATGCCGTCGGCGAGGGAGCAGCTGGTTCCAACGGACGCCCTGGTGCCCATTTAGGGACCTGGCAGATTTATAGTATTCCCTAAGTAATTAAACGACAAACGAGTAAACAGTGACACATAGACTAGTTAGTGTAAGGTACTTCCTACGTATATATCCACTTATGTATAGAACTATCAGTACTCCCGCTTTGTTCATTTTTGTTGTGTTTGGTCTGCATAACCAGCCGTTTAGTTTGTTGATCCCAATAGATCCTTGTACATATTTCGGGATGGAAGCAGGATTGAGAGTCAGGAGCATTTAGTGGCCACCTTATCGTAACCCACCCGCGCGTTCCAGCAAGTGCTGTTATGAACAAATGTCCTAATTTCTAGAGTTATAGTTCTAATTTAGTTCTTAAAGTGTACATTTAGTAGAGATTTATGTGGAGATGCCCGACTGTACAAGACTTGTTTGAAAGCCAATTTTATGTTGATCTATTTTAAAATTTAAAGTTAAATTTCGTTTTCGTTTTGTTGCCCCTGATCGTATTGAATTCTACTCTTAGAAACTGGCCAAACTTACACTGAAAGCGGAAAAACTACGCACACAACTGAGCAGTTTAAGTTTAAGTATAGTGAAGTGGAGTGGAAGAACACAAGACTTGAAGCATTTACCGCTACAAAATACGAGAAATATTTGTAAAACATTTTGTACTCAACTCGAACAGCAATGCAAACAGTTTTAAGCCTAAGTTAGACCCAAGCCCAAGACGATTATCCATTAATTTAGTGCAAATCGAATTCGAATGCAACTTTCGCCAATTCATCGGCGTCTCTAGTTCGTTTTGTGAAGATTTGCGGAGACGGCAATAATGCATAATGTAAATAGTATAATATTAACTAGTTTCGCTTTTAAACTTACATTAAAACTATTCATTTAGAACTTAGCCAAGGCAAACCCAAGTAAAATACGCAAAATAAAGTTAAAGAAAATCAACAATCAACAAGGAAAATATAACAAAAGAACCCCTTATGTTTTCATTTTTTATGATTTTACGGACGAACAGAAAGCGATTTCGATGTTGAAAAACCACGATCCTTCACATACTGTTCTATTTTGTGTACATATCCGATTGGCAAAACCCAACATTCGAAGCATATAAAGTGAAACGGTAACCGTAATTTATAATTTTGTATGCCAATGAATTTATACGTGTTAAAAAGTAAGTAAATTCTGAATCAAGAGCCGAAAAACATGAAAACAAGAGTACTCATCACTGCCAAAAATGTAATGAACAACAAGAACACAGTTGTTAAGAACGACTGATTAATTTAGTGTGCGAAATGAGCGGAGCCAGAAGTAATTATTAATGCCACACCCCTAATTCCAGCTCGAGCACTTTCCCTTTGTTGCACAATAATAGCTCGCCAAGAGTCGAGTATATCAAATATATCTGTGTGTTGTCTTAAGTAGCTGTAGATGCGTCTCTGTGCCCCCCCAACTAGTTTAAGCTTATAAGGAAGATTGAGAAATATATATAAATGTACGTGTATATCCACATATATCCAGAGAGGAGGCAGGGAATCTCTAGATCACTGCCCATATACATGATTTAAAGCAATACTCTTACGATAATCGCCGATCAAGCTTAGTTGACTCTTCCATTCGGTTAGTCTTTCGATGCCTTTCGCCCCAGTTGTTCAACGCTTTGTACTGCAAACAATGAAGAAGGAGAAACCTAAAACTAATGGTAATAAGTATCAAACAAGAATCCATGAGAAGCAAAGGAAAAAAATTTAAAAATAAAATAAAACTACCTCAAATTTTTGCAAGCATAAAACACACAAAAGAATTTTTCGAGACAAGTTTTCTAGAGCGAAGAGAGTATATAGGTGCAGCGTTATAGGGCAGATAACCCTAGATCCGTAGATCCGAACAGGGCAGAGCCGAGAAACAAGGGAAAGTATACACGATACACTGGTAGTACACAGAAACAAACAAGGGGAAACCGTAGGCTAATTCCATATTTTGCTAATATTGCGTACAGTCTGTAGGATAAGCAGCGATCCAGTTAAACTACGTTTACCTTTGCTTTTCCTTTTCGATCCCCACGGAGGAACCTTCCGAGACGATAACCCAAATATGCATTTGCCTTTAGCCCTCAGCTCAGTTTAAGTTTGTACATAGATTAGTTTAACGAATACGAGATATATATTCAATATCATAACCATAATTTAAATATTACAACCGCTTTAATGAATTGCAGACAGAAATTAATTAAGAACTCATAATTATGGTAATTAACAGGCGTACATACACACAAGTATACAGGAGAAGTATTTCTGAACATTCGGTTATTTCGAGGTATGTCCTAGTTGATTTCGGAATCAGTTCTGGCCAAATCCAAGGCGCAAACACAACCACAACAGCAGCGGTCTTGCTTCGAATGTAACTAATGTAATCAAAAGAATTATATACATATATATATTATTGAACTCTATATACACAACATAGTATGTACAAGTGGACTCAAACAGATTCTGAAACCGAAGAACATGTAACGCGCTGAGGAATGAAAAATATATGAAAACAAGTAATATGCTAGCTTCGTAGTTTTATTTCGACCTTAGCGAGGGGACTGGACGAAATCACTGTTGTTATACGTTTTTAATATAAAATCAGAGGTCAATATTGGAACAATTATTGGATCCATCCAATTATGTTCTGGGAACTTTTCTGCTTTTAATCCGATCCATGGCTTGCATGAAGTACTTAATGTTGGCTACATAGTTCATATCGGTAGAATTCAAATCCATAATTAATAAACTGAGTTGGTAGAATCCATGGGGAAGCGGCGGAATAAGACTGGTATCCAAATATCCGTCGCGGCACGTTATCTGGCCCTGTAGCTTGCAAAATTTTAAGGACAATTACTACCGAAAAACCCGGTGTTTCAGAAATACCGTAAAAGGGCAGGAGTGGTTAACATTAGTGAACCGCTTTAACAACTTCCACGCGATGACGCCATAAGGTATATAGTTCCTTTTTTCAATCACCTCGCACATATTAATGGTAACGTCAACTAGGAATGGCTTGTACTGGTTACTGTAGTCCTTCTTAAAAAACTGCGCCCGAAACTAGAAAACAAAAGCTTTCACATCGGATTTTAGGGAAAATGTAACCATTGTCTTACAATTGGATTTAGTACAGGCATAAGCAAGGAGGCATCCACGTTTACCACAGCCATATTCCAATTGATCGGCTTAACATGGCATGTGACGTTACTAACCCGAGTCTTATTGACTAGGCACTCAACTTTGGTGAGCTTGTAAATTAACTGAGCCTCCAACTTGCGGGATAATAAAGATATTAAATGTTTTGAAACTGAGTTTAAAACCTCACCATTTGCCAAGCCAAGCAGATGCCCAGAAAAACCAGCACCGCGGATCTCATTTTTGCAACTGACAGTGAGCGGATTTTAATGGTTTTATTATACCATTAAATCATAAAAACGATTAATTATAAGTTTTAATCGAAACTGAGTGATCATCAGCATAATGCCTAATGACTGATGGAATTCCTACGATAGTTCTGCTGAACACAAATGTATACTTATCATGGTTCAAAAATTCTTGCATCATGATTAACAAAAGGATTAATGTAATTAATTAAATAACTACTCTTTGTTGTTTTTAATCGTTGAACTAATATACAAGGGTGGTCAAAAGTATTTTCACAAAAAAAAAGTTAAATATATTCATAATTTGAACTTACATCTTGTTAACTTTGGCAGCAATGGAAAGGTAATTTAAATGCCGTTTGAATGATACAATAAATTTCTTAACACATTCAGTACTTATTGAAAAGGACGAATTTGTGTGAAAATGTCCTTTTTGAACTTTTTTCCTCGACTTGAAAACTTAAATTTTTTGATGCAAAAAGTTTCTTCAAACAAAAATAATAGTAACTGCAAAAAGAATTTTTCAAAAATCATTTTGCTTATATTTTTTATATATTCGATGGTTCTGCTAAACGCACATGATAACTAAGTACGATGCAAGAATTTTTGTAACAGTATAGAACGCTAATGTTACATTTCATAGTAGGAACAACAAAATTTTGTAATTAAATAAACAATTACTTTTTGCTTTATTATTTTAAGATTCAATTAATATCCACAGAGAGAGAATTCTCACGTTCCTATCTGTCCCAAAAACTATGCTTTCGGAATTTTTTTGATTTTAATCTGATCCATGACTTGTAGGTAGAACTTCATGGTTCCTATATAGTCCTTATTTGTAGAATTTAAGTCCACAACTATCAAACTGACTTGGTAAAATGCTTGGGGAAAAGGCGGAAGAAGACTGGTATCTAGATATCCATTGCGGGATTTTAACGGTCCCTGCAATTAAAAAAACTTTAAGGGCAATCATACAAGAAAAACGCGGTGCTTTAGAAATACCGAAAAGGGACAGGAGTGGTTTACATTAGTGAAACGCTTCATAATCTTCCATAACATGACGCCATAAGTTATGAAGTTCCTTTTTTCAATCACCTCGCATATTTTGATGGAAACGTCAACTAGGAAGGGCTTGTACTGGTTACTGTAATCCTTCTTAAAAACCTGCGCTCGAACCTGAAAAACATAGTATTAAATCTTTCACACTAGATTTTATGTAAAAAGTTAACATTGTCTTACAACTGGATTCAGTGCAGGGATAATCAAGAAGGCATCCATGTTTAACAACGCCAAATTCCAATTGATCGCCTTCAAGTGGCAAGAGAAGTTGCTAACACGCGTCTGATTGACTTGGCACTCTACTTTGGTGAGCTTGTAAACTAACTGAGCCTCCACCTTGGGGGTAAAAAAATATATTATGTTTTGAATCTGAGTTTAAAACCTTACCATTTGCCAAGCCAAGCAGATGCCCAGAAAAACCAGTACCGCGGAGCTCATTTTTGCAACTGACAGTAAGCGGATTTTAATAATTTTATTATATAACTGGATGATCATTGCCCGCGTTTAGCATAATGCCTGATGACTGATTGAATTCTTACGATTATTCTGCTAAACACACATGAATACTAATCATGGTTCAAAAATTCTTGCATTATGATTAACAATTACTATTTAATTATTAATAAAATAACTACTTTTTGTTTTTTTTTGATGGTTCAACTAATATATACCTTAGTCATAGCATTAAAAATAACAACACGATTTGTACGATTCTTACCAACATTCTAGCTTTTGTTCTTTTCAAGATCATAACCAACAGACGCACGGAGATTACAGTATTCGAGGCATTTCTTGTTTTAAAACATTTATTTAGTTTGATATACTATGGTGGTGTTCTAGATTCGTCGGAAAGTATGTAACAGCGTTTCCAACCCTATAAAGTATGTGGCCGAGTCGATCTAGTCATGTCCGTCTGTCCGCTGTCCGTATGAACGCTGTGATCTCGGAAACTATAGGAGCTGAATTACTGGGGTTAGCCATGCAGATTCTAGAGATTCCTGCGCAGCGCAAGTTCGTTTCGTCAGTGTGGCTCACCCACAAACCGCCCAAAACGGTGGCTCCTACAGTTTTAATGCTAGAATAAACTGAAATTTAAAAATTAAAATTTAACTGAAATTTATTAGTCTCGTCAATACGTATCGATCGATTGACTTTAAAAAAAGTTTGCCACGCCCACTCTGACGCCCGTAGCGCTTAAATCTGTCTGCCGCCCACATAACCATATATTGAGATCACGGCAGTAGGGAATAAAGTTTCTAAAAACTGAAAGCTTTCACATCAGATTTTGTGCAATATTGAAACATTGTCTTACAATGTCAGTTTAGTCATAATCAAGGAGCAATCCATGTTTCCCATAGCCATATTCCAACTGATCGCTTTCACATGGCATGCGACTTTTTGAAACTCGATTTCTTAAACTTGTAAACCAACTGAGCTTTTGATTTGCGGGATATTGAAAGTATATAGTTTTATCCCAAAATTAGTTCAAAGCCTCACCATTTGCCAAGCAAAGCAACTGGGTATAATCATGCAAGTGCCACAAGGAGTTAGCTCTCACATTAACGCTCAAAAAAATACATTATCCCTCTGTCTGAAATATTTTAGCCGGAACTCGAGAAAACGGCCCTAGAATTGAAATTGGTTTTTAAAATCTGTACATTTAATAGCTTTTCGAAGGAAATTCGGAGTTTACCGGAATTTCATTTAAAATAAGCAATTCTAAGTTTTAGTAATGCAATGTAATGCAATATTAATCGGCTTATATAAAAATCTTATATATTCTCATGTGCGATTCGTCCCCACGTTGACTGCCGTCCCAAAAACTATGCTCTCGGAATTTTTTTGCTTTTAATCTGATCCATGACTTGTAGGTAGAACTTCATAGTGCCTACATAGTCCTTATTTGTAGAATTTAAGTCCACAACTATCAAACTGACTTGGTAGAATCCTTGGGGAAACGGCGGCAGAAGACTGGTGTCTAGATATCCATTACGGGCTGTAAGCGGGCCCTGTAATTGGAAAAACTGTAGGGCAATCACTCAAGGAAAACCCGGTGCTTTAGAAATACCGAAAAAGGACAGGAGTGGTTTACATTAGTGAAACGCTTAAATAACTTCCATATAATGACGCCATAAGGTATGAAGTTCCTTTTTTCAATCACCTCGCACATTTTGATTGAAACGTCAACTAGGAATGGTTTGTACTGGTTACTGTAATCCTTCATAAAAACCTGCGTTCGAATCTGAAAAATATCAGGCCTTTCACATCAGGTGTTATAAAAAATGTTAGCATTGTCTTACAACTGGGTTCTGTAACGGCATAATCATGAAGCAATCCATGTTAACCACCGCCATATTCCAATTAATCGCCTTTACGTGGCATGAGACGTTGCTAACACGCGTATGATTGACTTGGCACTCGATCTTGGTGAGCTTATAAACCAACTGGGATTCCGCCTTAGGAAAAATAAAGGCATTAGGTTTGGTATCCTAAGCTAAGTGCTTGAAATCTTACCCATTGCCAAACAAAGCAGCTGCTCAGAAACACCAGTACCCCGAATAGCATTTTTGAAACTGACAGCAATGGGATTATAATGTTTTTAGCATTAAACGATCAATAAATCGATTTATAATATGTTTTTAACTGTATATCTGAGATCTATATTTCGAAATTTGATAATTGCTTGTAACAATAATTAATTTACCAAACGCCAAGAAAGGAATCGTATGGTATATTTGAGTTTGGGAGAATCCATGAAAAGAACATTGAAACAAAAAATCAAGGGAGAACGCTATAGCCGTTACTGCGAGGGAGATGGATCGGCTGTTTACGAAATTGCACACCAAAGTTATGCTGCGCAGGAACCCCTAGAATCTGCATGCTGAATCGCTTTCTAGCTTTTATAGTTTTCGAGATATCAGCGTTCATACGACTTGGCCAACGATCCTGATCAACAATATATATACATGCTTTCCGACGAATCTTATATACCCTTTTAATAAACGAGTAACAGGTATTATTATATGTTTATGGTTCATTAATTCATTAAGTGTATAGTTTATAGATCCAGTAGACCAGATAGATCTCCACGCAAGACTAGATCTGCTGGGACTCGAGTAAATGAAATCCTGAATGGATTTATTTTTTTTTAGAAAGCCCGCCCATTAAAAGATACTTTTTTTTTTGGAAATTAGAAATTACAATTTATTTCATACAATGTCTGTTGTTGATGGTTGTTTACTTGCTTTATATGTTTCGAATACACAGTTACAGTTTCTAAAACCTCACCGTCGGTTACATGTATAGGTAGGATAGTGATGGGTGCATGCAACTTAAACAAATAACAATAAGAATTCGTGACACAATTGGATCGCATTACGGCTAACAATAATAAACTTCAATTATCAACCGAATTACTCAGATTCCCCCAGCCGCTTCCCGATGAGAACGCAACACGGGCGCTGCTACATTGCGGTGGCGGTTGTGGGGTATATTTGATTGATCGGATTCGATTGGCAACGTCACATATTTATATACAATTGCTAATTGTGTGCACAAGTTGTGTATATGCAGCTGCTTTTGTGCATTTCTGTTGTGGTCGCATTCTTGTGGTGGTCGGGAGGCACGCGCAAGCGGAGCGACCCAGGCTACGGGAAGATAGCGCCACTGCACAGGTTGAGCTCCTCCGCATTCTCAGCATCACGAATGCATCGGCGTCCAACGGGCGGTGGAATGTGCTACCTTCTCGGGTCGGGATCGTTCTGCTTGTCGGGCCTCCCTTACAAATTGATGTTGTTATTTGTCTAATGCTACTACTATACATGTCGATCTGATGTTGTTGGGTTCGGTTTTGATGTTGCTGCTTATAACTTCTAATTTGTTGGGATTTTACAATTTTTTTTTGTTGGATTTTTGTAGTAGATTTCTTGTTGCTAATGCGGTTGTTGTTGTTGTTCTTGTTCTTGTTGGTATGAGTTTCATTTGCAACATTCGTCTACGCTTTTTTGGGTTCTGCTTGCACGACTTTTGTTATTGGTATTCTTGTTTGTTGGTTTATAATTTTGCTACTACAATTTCTTGTTAATATTTTATACATAATATATATTTTATATATATAATATTTTCTTTACTATACAATAACAGCGGAAAAATTGTGTGTTGTGGTTGTTGTTATTTTGCAGTATTTTGTTTTTCTCAGTTTTGTCGCAGTACATTCATTCACTTGATTTGTATTGTTTCGTACGTTTTATAACAACTTTCTCATGTTAATATGTATAATTGTTTATGATTTCTTGTTCTTGTTTATATATATATATATATTTTGTATATATTATGTATATCAATACCGTAATTGTTTGTATTACCATCTTTTTCTTATCACAAAAAATCATAATTATATATATAATTTATTATTATTAATTTTTAATATATTATTCTTAGAATTGAACAATAATTAAAAATAAACATAGGACTTAGTTACATTTTGTATGTGTGTGTGTGTGTTGGTTTTTTGTGTGTGTGTGTGTGAATGATTGCATGTAGTTGGTTTTTCGCAGTTGACGTTAAAGTATTGCCAAGCGTCCGCATCCCGCCCAGCCGTCCAGCAACAACTCTCCAGCTCCCGCCGTACTGAGCTTCCACCCCACCCACCAATTCTAGGGGGGCGGAGTGCGCCCAAACAGCGGTATGCGGCGGAGAGCGGTACGATGTCGCGCCGGATGACAGCGGGCGGAAGCATTGATGTTGTTGCTGCTGCTGCTTGTTTGTTTGTTGTTGTTTTGGCCCTTTCGCTAAATTTGTTGATCTGATTTTGTTGCAGCCACGTCAGGCTCAATGCAAATGTACAAAGTTTCTTCTGACAATTGTTGTTGGTTGTTGATTTCTTTACAATTTTTTTCTTTTTGTTTAACGAACTTTACATATACACTAAACATTATTTAATAATAATAATGGAAAAAACAAATAACAAAGAGCACACAAAATTGTGGAGCGCAAAATAATAAGTAAAAGAGAAGGATTTCTTGATATAGCAAAAATCATAATTATTACAACTTTATGAACTTAACTGCAAATTGTTTTCCTCATGTTTAAGACTGATTTTGAACGGAAAATAACTAAGCTAAACCACGCGCCAGCAAATCGAGGTGAACTGGGGGAGCAACAGGTGCAAATTGGCGGCCACCAATGGGCACAGTGCATGGCGGAATCCTGCAGCCCGGCAGGACTGGTTTTGGTTGTTCTTCCTATGTACAAACGGCCCCCGCCTGGGTTGCCCCGCACACACACTGCTCGAGTTAATGTTGCTTGTTGGATGTTGCACATTGCATGTTGCTCGACGGTTGGTTGACACAATTTTACCTGCTCCCCTTGAAGCTGCTGCTGCTGCTGATGTTGTTGCAACAGCCTTGCTGTTTGGTGTTTGCTGATTGCTGGGCGCCGTTTGTCTATTTGTTGTTGTGTGTTTGCATTGATTGATTTATTTCGTGTACAGGTAAATGGCCACAATCAAGCCGTAGAGACCCAACACTTCGGCGAAGATGAGAATCAGGATCATGCCGACGAACAGTCTGGGCTGCTGTGCTGTACCACGGACACCGGCGTCTCCCACGATGCCGATCGCAAAACCGGCTGCCAGGCCAGAGAAGCCCACCGCCAAACCGGCTCCCAAGTGAATGAAGCCCCTGAGGATCGGCACATGTTAATAAATTGAATCGTTGGCGGGGGAGTAAGTCGATAGTTACCTGTATAGTGAGTACTTTGAGGGCTCTTCCAGCGCGCCGGCAATGAGCACAGCCACCACCAGACCGTAAATGGCAATGATACCCGCCATGACCACAGGAATGATGGATTTCATGATCAGTTCAGGACGCATCACTGACATGGCAGCAATACCGGTACCAGACTTAGCAGTGCCATAAGCAGCGCCCAGAGCTAGGGGAGAGATTCAAGGGTAGCATAATTAGTGGGTTATTCCATTAGCGTTTGCCAATCCTCCCGATCTCGAACATAGTTGTGGGGCAAGTCTACAAGGCAAAGGTTATCAGCATATAACAGTTTCCACCGAACTTTGCCCAAAGAGATTACTGTGACATATAGTCACATAAATACTATTCGATATATATATATTACTTTTTTGCATTAAAATTGGCAACTTTCCCTGCAACTCCCAATTTTGTGCTCAAATTACATGATCCATTAAAACTAAACTAATTAGATCGGAGTATTCCAACTACCATTTCATATCATTACATAACTAACCAATTTGCTCAGCATTTTGGAGGTGACTAACCAACCAAGATTGGCTATCAATTGCTCCAACTCTCGCCTCGGGCGTAACAGTTAGCAGTCACATGATCGCCCATAACTGACGTTATTTGCTGAAAAAACCCCCCCAAAGTCCCCACCCCCAAAAGTTCCACTCATCGCCCAGAGTTGGGTTTCTGCGGAGAGCAATAAAAACCTGCTTCTCTCGCAAATTCCGACATTCCGCTCCCAAATCGGCGAGTTTTATTACTAGCTCTCTCTTTCTCTCTCTCGAAAAGTCAGGCAAATATTGATAAGGCCAAGCTAAAGTTTATACAACAGGTATTATATTATATGGGCCAGGTGGATCAGATCGGTGGAGTCCATTATACAGACAATTCGGTGGCGAGAGATTCTATGTATTATGTACACATTTTGTGTATCGATGGGGCATTAATTGAAGTACAAAACCAGTTTCAAATGACGGTCAATGGATTGTTCGTGTGTTTGTGAGAGGGCTGATAAATCGAATTAAGCCGCACGCATACCACAATCTAAACCGACACTCAATGATATGGGTGTATTCAGAGTTGACGGAGCGGGAGAGCAAATATCCCCCATGTCATGTGATTCCATGTTAATTACTTATTTTCCGCCCCAAACCAAGATATGACTGGTATTTAATTCAGAGGAACGGAATGGCTTGGAAACACTGGGAATCTTCTTGAATAATAATTTCTATAACTTATGAGTAGCTTTGCTTTTGCTCAATGTTTGCCGTCTACGTCACTGAACAGGAAAGTGATGGGAAATGGTAATGAAAAAAACCAGAACGAACTTGAATAGACAATTTGTTATAACCACAAGAGATATCTATGCGTCTAGCACGAGCACACCGAATCTATGAGGTCGAGGCTGTCGTCACAAAAGCACGCACACATACCAAAAAAAAAAAATCGAATTGTCCGAACACCAAGTACAGAAATAATACAGTGCGTTTGGTGGCCCGCATTGCGTGAAATGGCATTAACACGGGCTAAAATTCATTGAGGAACAATTAAGGCAAAGACGAGGGACATAGGTTATTGACCCAGCACTTTCCTTGGGCACTTTCTCCACGTGGTTCACCTCGAATGTACACATAAAAAACTAATTATTAGGATATTAGCAATTCTGGCTTAGATATCAAGAGTTTCAATTTAATATAACAAATATCTCTTGCAGTGAGGGAAGTATAACATAATTTACTAGTTTATTTAATTGAACAAAAGTGGAATCAGAAAATGCTTCTAACGCTTCTCTTATCTTGATATCAAACTGATTTGTTTTCTGTGTATGCGAAAATCATGCGTGCAGCTGTCAGGTGTGCCAGTGTGTACACACCACGATTGTATCTGTGTTTCACTTTGGCATTGACGTTTTTTCAGCTGTATTGGCGCCGCATTCAAATTCACAAATAATAACTGAAAAAGCTTGAATGGCATTGACTTGTTTTTTTGCCTTTTAACTGCTCCTTCTGCTGCTGCCATGCATTTTAAATAAACCCTCACACACACCAGAACATGGCATTTATCAAGCGACAGACGGCATCGCAGACATTTCTGTGGGCGTTGAAATAAATAATAATAAAAATGAAAATATCTGGGAATCGGGAACAAGAGGAAGAAGCGACAGCAACAACAACTACCGACAGCACATTCGAAGATAATTATAAAATGGGGGAGATAGCAAGAGACTGGCAAAACACAGCATCAAGTGAAAAGAAAAGAAAGAAACCCCCCAACAAAACAAAAACAAATTGAAGGCGTCACAGTTGAGTGAGCAGAAAACAGAACGAAGAGAACAGAACATTGAAAATAGAGGCGAATTTTGGATGAACCAGGTTATAGTCAAAAAGAAATGCATGACGGACCAATTAACGCTGCAGGTGTCTGTTTGTTTTTATAATCTTTCCTGCATGCGGCAAGAATTCGGACGGGAAACAGGAAGATAAGATAAGATAACCGTCAGTCTATTCCCATTCTAGGCTGTACCAGTGAAACAGGGTGCCCCTTGTTCAGTTCCAGTCGTTCATTGATTAAAATGCAATAAATTCTCTCACTCATACAGCAGCATCCCAATTATTTTGTTCATGTCTGTGTGAGCTTGTGTCAAAGTCGGTATTACAACAGTGTGGCATTACAACTTGTGGGGGATTTTCCAAATAATGGTTATTCGTCACGTGTGGCAGGAAATTATGCGTTAGCATAACCACTTTTACATAATTTACTAGGCTACTACCATTATCCATATGTATATCTACTACTATTTAGGCTACTGCGATTGCGCAGGCAAGCGTGGGAGTGTGTGTGTGTGCGTGCTCGAGTATGCTGGAGCTGCTGCTGAATGTCATTGTGTGAAGGATTTTCGTGGCAACTTGGGTATTTTTAGCCCAGTGCGAGACGAGGATGTGGGCCAGCATTCCAAGTGGCGGCAAGTGCTGATAAACCGCAGCTCAAAGCAACGCCCATTGTTCTCAGTGCAGTGAGTCAGTTTATCTGTCATCGAAAATGAAAAATAACTGCAGTTGCCAGCTGAAAATGAGTAAAAGAGCGGGAGAGAAAAGTAACTGAAACTCTCATTCCCCCAACCTCATGTGATCGTGAAGTGGCGTTGCCAGATCAGCGTTACTGTCACTGTTGATAAAAAGCTGGAAATTGATTTATGCTATTGACTCTAATTGCATAAGCAGTATAAAGTCAGATAACTTGGTACTCGTCAAGCGATGATAATGGGCCAAGTAAACAAGGCAGGAAACCCTCTTCTTCTTGACTACCAAAGCACAGTGGCGGGGGTGGGGGGCTCAGGCGCAAATCACAAGACAAGTTACAAGGCATGACATAAGGATTGCGTCACAAATGGGTCGAAATTAGTGGAAAGCAGTGTGGGGCAGCCTAAACTTGGCTCTCATAAACGGAAGCGCGTGCTCGCTGTTCTTTCCCATACAATGCCTCAAGTTGGTCTTGCGACACTCGCTTGAGAACTAGCTATCTTATCTTGGCCAAGTAAATTGGTAAATAAGCCACTTATCAGCAGTAACAGCGAATGAGTGGCCATGATAAGCCGCCACTGGAAAAGATCGTCAGCAAGCCATGTGATGTGGGCTAAAACTCAATTGATCGTGCAGTTAATGATTGGGGCATGTGATTACCAAAGCCGAACAAAAGATCTTTCTTTTTGAGTCATAAGTTGTCAGCTAATTGGGCTTGGGAAGAGTGCGATAAGGAAATGTTGTGTATTGACACGATTTTTGTAAGGTTTCCTATTTTTTTCGGCATGTGACTTCCGCATAACGAGGGTCATATGCTGTCAGTTGATTGGGTTTACAAGAGTTCGAAGCCCGGATTTATCTTCCACTATAAGGTTTCTGCTCTATTGTTTGCCCATGCTCTAACCAATAAGATGAAAAAACTTCAATATGGCAACACTCCCCAGTCTTGTGACTGTTGTGAGAAAAGGAAAGCGCGCTTCATAAACTTCACCAAAAACAGTAACTGTTCTCGCACTCATACACACGCGCTCAATGCCACCAAGTGCGAGAGTGCGCAGCGCTCGGGAGAGCGAGAGAGCCGCAGTGCCCACATGTGTGTGTGTATGAGTAATGCCGTTTTTAGCATGCTGAAAAGGCGAAATTTCTTTTTTTTCAACTTGGTCACTGCGAAATAAGCGTAATTAAAATTGCTAATTCTACAAGTTGTAAATAAAGGGGAATATTTTTCGTTTCAAAGGCGAGTTTGCTAATCTGAAAGCTAGTTCGATTTTCTGCTGGTCACGCGCATACAAGCGAGCAAATTGCTTCCTTTGTGTGGGTTAGTCCCGTGTTCGTACACCATTTGTCTACACTTGCCGCTATTTCGCGTTACTACCACCTACAAAAGGCGCCCGCACACCTACAAGCTGGCTCCCCGCTCTTCCTATACCTCTTCTGCTTCTTCTTCCACCTTTTACGCCACACAAAATGTTCGATTTTTCACGGCATGGGCATGGCATCCTTAATTCTAGTCAGGAATCCGGAATCCGAGTTCCGATTTGAACTTACCCGAGAAGATGATGGCGGAGGCGGCGCCCATAACTCCGAAGAAGGGGCCATAGATGGGGTTGTCGCTGCTCACTTCAGAAGACATTTTGCTTTGTTTGTTGTGTGTTTTTTAGGCTACAAATGATCGAAAAATCGAGATTTTAATTCGTTTCGCTGATTGCACTGTAGTTTTTTTTTCTATTTTTTTTTGTTCGGCGTTTTGCACGGCTGAATGTTATGCGCGCTCGTTATATGTATGCGTTGCTTCGAGTTGAAACAAAGTATTTTTATTATATGTACAATATATGTGCTATATGGGTATTTTACGCTGCTCTGCGACAATGCTGCTGCTGCGACGAACGAATTGCGAGTGGCCGCTCGCGGAATATACTTAAATATACTTTATAAAAGTGAGAGAGCGCCAAACGGAGCGAGTGCGAGTGGAGTGGCCTAAGACCAGAACTGGGAGAGAGTGAGCGAGAGGCACTCGTTGGTTTATCGAATTTTGCTTCTGTGTGATGTGTGTGTGCATGTCATGTGCCTGTGTGCGTAAGAGAGTGAGCGCATGACAGAACGGGCTCACATGAACGGAAAGTAAGTCCAATTGGCAATGACAACGGTCTGGAAAATTACACATGCACACACAATCACATGGAAGTAGCTGAAAACTTCGTTTTCTTCAATTTTGCAAAAGTAAAACTTTGCCTTTATTCTTTAGGATCCTTTTCTCCGTTAAATGTTCGCCCTGCGCGCAAAACGCACACCCACAAGCGAGTTCTCATTGCCATTGGCTGCGAGTGTGGCTTGCCTGTGTGTGTGTATGTCGTGGCAGAAAATATTGTACAATTTTTTTTTCGCTGATTAAACTCTGTTTCAATTGAAGTTGTCCCAGCAGCATGATTTATCGCAGCCCGAAACTTTTCCGCAGGGCTTGCCTCACATGACCGCCTATCTTTTGACTTTGCTTTTTCACTCACGTGATTAGAAATCTAATTAAAAGCAATTCGCTGCTCTGTGGCTGGCCTCTTCGGGTTACTGCTGGCTGGCTTGCTGCTTAAAAGCGCGGATCGGATACTGAACGCCAACGAGTTTTTTAGCTTTGCTTTTATAAACTTTAGTCACGGGGGCGGATTGGTGCGATATTTGGACCAGCGTTGCCACAAAGATATAGTCAAAACGAACTAAGACTGTTCGCACTACAAGAAAGTACAAACAAAAAATACCGCTTTCATACTCTTCGTAAAAAAGGAAGCGCGCAATTAAATGATAAACCCGCCTGTATCATTGACCTCTTCTCGCTCATCGGAACCAGATCTTTTTACGTGAAATTGACTGGTTCATGTCTTTAATTTTAAATGTAATATAATATAAATAATTAAATGTAATATAAAAACTCAACCACCGCCATCTTTTCTTCTGGTTCATGTCTTTAATTTTAAATTTAATATAATATAAATAATGAAATTTAATATAAAAACTCATCCACCGCCATCTTTTCTTACTTTTTTGCTTTGTATTTTCAATGAAAATTTTCAAGCCCGACAAATAGTCATAAACTTAACCATTTAACTAAACATTATACAATGTAGTCAGATCAAGCACACAGGAACTATATTTAATTAAACATTTTAAGTAATCCCAGATATCAACTATTTATTCTGAAGGCGACGGGTGTATTTTTCTTATGCCTGCAACAGTCACGAGCCTAGATTAAATTTTTGAATCAGCTCCGAGTAAACAATCATAAGACTATTGGCACCTTGCAAAAATTAAAAACCAAGTAATCATATATTTAAATCGAAAAAATCGCCGATACGAACTTCAGCGGTAGGTTTGTTTAGTCTGGCAGCTCTTACATTTGCTTTTACTGGGAGTTGCCACATATCTAATGGCAAAGAACTAGAAACTGAAAGCTTATCGGCTGTTAAAATTTAAAACTCACTTCTGTTATTCCTTGGCCCTTAGTATTTTTCCTTTGCAAATGCAGAGGGTACAATTTCAATAGATTTTTTTGCAATTTTTCTATAGATTGGGCCACCAAAATGGAATTTTAAAGACTTATAATTTCAGTTAAAACTATTTCAACACATTTAATTAAAGTAATTAAACAAATTATTATTACATAGTTGGTAGATTTACACAGAGCTTTTGAAACCCCATCCTAGTACTTATCCAGAGCCTTCGAAAGCAACGTGTTCATGTTGGTGAGCAGCATGCGGGGATCCTCCGCCAGACCGGCGCCCACCATGGCGTTTGCGAAGAGCTGCTTGGCGATTAGTTGGGCCAGCTCCTTGTCGCTCTCGCGAAGCTTGTTCAGCTTCTTGATGATGGTGTGCCTGGAATAAAGTATAAAATAAGTAAGGGGCTCTAAATGGCATAAAGGAAAGGCAACTAGCACTACTCACTTCGGGTTGATCTCCAGTTCTGGCTGAAGAAGGGCAAATCGATTCTGTTCGGGCACCTGGTGACTTTGGGTGCGGATGAAGTGGCGAGCGGCGGCCATCTCCTCCACGGTGATGACACAGGGGTGGGTGTCCAGGCGGGAGGTGGCTTTTACCTTGATCACCTGGCCCTTAAGCTCCTCCTCAAGCCACGGAATCAGAGCGTCCAACTCCGAACGCAGCAGACTGCCCTCACCAAAGTCGGTAGCCGCCGACGTCTCCTTGGACTCTTCCCGCATCTCCTTCTCCACGGATACAAGGTTCTTGCTCTTAAACTTGGCCAGCTGCATTAGCACCAACTCGTCGTAGGGTTCATAGCAGAAGAGCACCAGCTCGTTTCGCTTCTTCAGGCTCTCGTAGTAGGGCGAAGACTCCGCAAGAACGCGATTTGGCGCTGCCAGGTAGTAGATGTTCTGCTGTTCTGCGGGAACGCTGTTGTAGTACTCCTCCAGGGACATCCGACCACTTGAGGTCTCCGACTTGGAAGACTCAAATCGCAGCAGTTTGGCAATTTCCTCCTTCTCGTTCGCATCGTTGGATGTTACAATGCCTTCCTTCAGGAAGAGTCCGTAGTCGCGGTAGAAGGCCTCGTACTCCTCTGGCTGCTTCTTCGCGCGCTCCTGCAGGAAACGGATCACACGGGTGGAGATTACGCTAGATAGTTTGCGGATCAGGCTGCTGTTCTGTAGCAGCTCGCGGCTCAGGTTGAGTGGAATGTCCTCAGAGTCGACGACGCCCTTCACGAAGCGCAGCCACTTGGGCAGCAGATGCTCCGTCTTGGACTGGATAAGCACTTTGCGCGTGTACAAAGCGACTCCGGTGTTTCCGTCTCGGGACATCTCAAATAAGCCTGGCTTTCCCTCGGGGAAGTAGAGCAGCGCGTGGATGCTCAAAGGCACGTCGGCATTGTAGTGCAGCGTGAAGCGCGGCACATCAAAGCTGTTGCTGATGAAGCGGTAGAAGTCGTGGTGCTGCTCCTTGCTGATGCTCTGCGGCTCAAGCAGCCACAGAGGCTTGATCTCGTTGGCCTGTTTTCCGTTCAGCAAGATAGGCGATCCGACGAAGTTGCTGTACTTTTTGATCACAGCCTGGATCCGCTCCTCGTCAGCGTACTCGCGGCACTCGGTCTTCAAATGCAGCACGATCCGCGTGCCCAGCTCAACATCTGGCACCTCTTCAATCTCATAGGAGCCACTGCCATCGGTTGACCATTTCAGTCCGGGGGCATTGGGCGTGGCCGCCCTTGTGAACACTTCCACCTTGTTGGCCACGATGAAGGACGAGTAGAAACCCACGCCGAACTGACCGATGATGTTGGAGGAGGCCTCCGAGGTGGCTGCCTGCTGGTTGCCCTTCATCTGCTCCAGGAACTGCTTGGAGCCGCTGCGCGCTATGGTGCCCAGGTTGCTGACCAACTCCTCCTTGGTCATGCCGATGCCCGTGTCCTGGATGATCAGCTGCATCAGTGGCTTGTCGGTGGTGATGCGAATCTCCAGCGGACGATCCTTGCCGGCCAGATTCTCGCCCCCAGCGCTCAGCGAGGTGTAGCGGAATTTCTCCAGCGCATCGCTGGCATTGGAGATAAGCTCGCGCACGAAGACTTCGTGGTCAGAGTACAGAGAACGGGCTACAATGTCCAGTAACTGGCGGGTCTCCGCCTGAAACTCGTGCTTGTCCACCACCGAATCCGAGGCCTTTTTCGTCTCCGTGGAGAAGCGACGAAGAGGAAGGGCTACAAATGGATGAAGGGATATTATGTAAACTTAAGATGGTTGGGTGAAACTAAAGGCTTACCGGCCGGCGATCGCTGGGATCCCAGGGCGAGATTAAGAGCTGCTGGGGCGGATCGGTGGCTCTGCCGCAGCACTTGGGCAAAGCGGCTGAAGCGACACGCCTGGCCCAGCACTCCCATCGCTCGGACTGACATCTTGTTTATCCTTGATTTTTGTGTTTTGGCCAACTAAAATGTTATTCAACTGATGTTTGTTCCAGCGCACATGTGTGCAGGCAAAGCCAATCGATTGTCAATATTCGATAGCGCAAATGAACTAGTTCACTTATTAGACAAGCCAATCCAATACATATATGGTTTATATGATTTATAATGATTTATAATGATTATTTTGGCTTCCTAATTTAAAATCTTTATATTTTCATTTCATGAGGGTGATTACAAAAAACAGTTCAATTGCAATCTGAAGCTAGTCGGATCTCAGAAATGTTCAGAGTTTTAAATGTTTCCAGTTAACAATGTTCCCTAGAGGTTTTACACGAAATCAATATACTCGCTGGCCTTTGGGTATAATATAATTAAATAATTTAATTAATAATGTTAGGCCAAACAACCAAAAACTTTATTTTTGAAAAAAATAAACAAATGTTGGCGGAAAATATCGATATCTCTATCGATAGCTAACGACATTAGAGGCCTCTGTTGACAACCCTGTTCGCGAATGCAACTCTGCTGAAGCGCGTCCGCGTCGCGTTGTAATTTTTGTTGAGTTTTTAAACTAATTTTAATTTGCATTTGCGTGTCTTACTAATTAGAAAACAATGTGTTAAGTGTTCCCCATTCGCGAAACAAGACGAATAGATCCGAAAATGGGTGCCTCCACCATCGACAGTGTGCGGGTGCTGCTGCAATCGCTGCCCGCTGCCACCACCAGCATCGCCTCTCAGCCGGCCGATCAGCAGACGCCGGTGAAGATTGGCCTTTCAGGGACGCCACTGCGCTCCAGGAATCCCAGCCAGCTACAGGTGGTCCCGGAGAAGGTCGAGGAGAAGCCGGCGTCGCCTCCGGAGGAATTCTGGAGAGATCTGCAGCAGTTCCACGAACGCCGGGGGTGAGTTCGCTGAAAACCCCAGCCATTGGAGATTCCCTGACCCACTTTCCCCCCTCTTCCACCAAACAGCACACCATTGACGCAGCCGGCCAAGATCAGTGGCAAGCAGGTTGACCTGTACAAGCTGTACAACGAGGTCACCGAACGCGGCGGCTTCAACAAGGTGAACATGCGGGACGAGTGGGAGGAGGTGTACAGCGCCATGGAGACGCTGCGGGACCGCTGTGTGAACGGCACGGCGGGCATCAAGCACATCTACAGACGCTATCTGGACAAGTACGAGCGCCTGAACTTCTTCGGCGAGGACCCGGACAAGATGGAGGCCTTGGAGGCGGCCATCGAGAACGCTGAGATGGGCGGAGGACGGTCGCGGTCACGTTTTCTGGCCGGTGCCAGCGGTGGTCTGGGCAGTATCTTCGGCTCAGCGCACTCTACGCTGCCGGCGGTGCCAATGAGCTACAACCAGCGACAGCACTCTGTTAATGTGGAGCGACGGCGACAGTACAAGATGTCCACGCACCTGCATCGACACAGCACCTACGAGAAGCTTCTGCTGTCCCTGCTCTCACCGCTGCCCAACGAACAAGACTTCGCCATCAATGTGTGCACATTGATGGCCAACGAGATGCGCCACACGTTGCAGCTGTCCGAATGTCCCAAACTGCTCGACGTGCTACTGGCTCACCTGGGTGTCTATGCCGACTTCACCATGCGTCAACTGTTCCAGCACAGTTACGCGGAGGTGCGACACCATTCGCAGCTTAGCTTCTGGCGGGACCTGCTTCACGATAGGCCACAGATCCTGGAGCTGTACACGGATGAGC